AGGCCGCCTGCCCAACAGCGGCCGCTGTTGGTTTGGGACAACATTTGTTGTTGGGCATCGTACCCATTTTTTCGGTACCCATGTCGGGCGTCCAAATTCTCACTTTCCCCCGGGGCTCTCCGCCGATCCTGGCCGCCTGGCCGTGCGAGGGGGGGAAAGCACACGAAACTCTTCCCCCCGTGCTGCTCGCCGCCGAGGAGTGGTCTCGAGACCTCAGGGGCCCGCGCGGTGGCGAGGCCACGGCGGCGTCGGGGGCCTGGCGGAATTCCCCTCGGCTGCCTCCTCCTCCTCCTCCTCCTCCTCCTCCTCCTCCTCCTCCTCCTCCCCTCCTCCTCCTCCCCTCCTCCTCCTCCTCCTCCTCCTCCTCCTCCCCTCCTCCTCCCCCTTCCCTCCTCCCCCTCCCCTCCTCCTCCTCCTCCTCCTCCTCCTCCTCCTCCTCCTCCTCCTCCTCCTCCTCCTCCTCCTCCTCGGGTCGCCTGCGCCCCCGGGGGCAACCGTGCGCTGGCTCCTCCTCCCGGAGGCGCCCTTTCCACGCGGGGCCTTCCGGAGTGGGCCTCGCCCTCGAGGGCTCGACGAGGCACCCGTCGCCGCGCCCTTCGTGCTGGCGCGGGGCCCCGCGCCCTGCAGGGTCAGGGCGCCGCGGCCACCAGGGCGGACCTCGCCGCGGACGCGGCGGGCTCGCCGCAGGCCGTAGTGAGGCGCGCCGCGGCGTCGCGCGGGGCGCCGCGGGGGCCGTCGCCGCGGGGGTCCGTCGCGGGAGCCGCCGCCGAGGCCGTCGCGGGGGGCCGTCGCGCAGTGGCCGTCGTGGGAGGCCGTCGTCGTGGTGGGCCGCGGGAGCGCTCGGATAGGGTGGTCGTGGGGGCGTGGGGGGGGCTATCATGGGTTCTCCTCCTCCTCCTCCTCCTCCTCCTCCTCCTCCTCGTTCCTCCTCCTCCTCCTCCTCCTCCTCCTCCTCCTCCTCCTCCTCCTCCTCCTCTTTCTTCCTCCTTCTTCCCCCCCCCCCCTCTCTCCTCTTGTCGGAGGAAAAGCTACCTTTGTCTCGCTTTCGCCTTTTTGGGCGTGCTGGGAGGCCATCGTCGCAACGGCTGGATTCGTCTCGAAATGTTCGTCAGAAAGCATCCTGGGAGAAGTCCGGGGAGTAGCGGTATCGGTATTTGTTTGTTTCCCCATCCCTTCCTCTCTGCTCTTCTCTTCTCCTCCTCCTGCCCCGCCTGGTCGTGTTCGCTGCGCCTGCTCGTCTTTTCTGTCGGGGTGTGGCTTCTCGCTGGCCCGCTGGGGGGTGGCGCCCCCCCGCAGTGGTGCAAAAGGGTCCTCTCCGATAGCCGCACCCCGTGTTCTCTTCTCTGATGTTCCCTGGCCTCTCCCGTGGCAGTGTCCCTCCTCCTCCTGCCTCCTCCTGCTCCTCCCCCCCCCACCCCCTCGGGTCCCCGCGCCGCCCCCCCGCGCGGGCCGCGCCCAGGACTTCTGCGCCAGACTGAAGGCGAAGGGGATCATCAGCGACATCATCTCGAAGGACAGCGAGTAGGGGCGCCCGCCAGCTGGGGCGGGCGTGGCCCTGGGAGGGGCCCCTGGGGTGCACACCCGGCCGCCCGGTCGGCCACAGGAGGGCTCGGCGCGTGCAGGCCTCCCCTTCAGCGGGAGGGGAGCGAAGAGCATGCACGCAGACACAGCTGCTCGTCAAATCAATGTGCGCGGGGATCTGGGAGGCGGCACGCGAGCTGGGAAAGCCTGAAGCAGCTGCGCGGGATCCTGGAGGCTGCGCTGTGGCTGTCTGCGCCTCCCCGGGCTCCGCCATACCCTTCGCGGACGGGGCGATAGTATCGGACGAGGGCGAGTCCGCTCTGGGGCGTGCCGGAGCGCCCCCAGCGCGTTCCGGAGCGCTCCCAGCGAAGGGAGCCTGTTTTTCTTTAGATTCGAGCAAGTTTACTTGCATGGACGGGTGGGGGGGGGGGCTGAGTCTGAAGCAAGCCGAAAACAATTCGACGTGCGGAAATCACGCGAGTCGAAAGGCACTTGCACGCTCGTGTTCGCTTGAAGAGGGGCGAGGGGGGGGGGGGGGGGCGAACGCAATGCAAGTAAACTTGCCCGAATCCAAAAAAACAAGCTCCCATCGGACGAGGGCGGGTCCGCTCCGGGGCGTGCCGGAGCGCCCCCAGCGCGTTCCGGAGCGCTCCCAGCGAAGGCCGCGGCGCGCGAGGCCCGAGCCATCCGCTCCCGAGCCGCCAGAGCTCAGAGAGATGCTCGAGCTGTCCCCACCCAATTGGCTGTCCTCGTCCTGGCCTCCTCTCGCCTCCAAGCTCGAGCTGTCCCCACCCGATTAGTCACCACCCGATTAGTCCCCACCCGATGTGTCACCACCCGCCAGACCACCCCAACCCAACCCGAAGGCCTCAAGGGGAACATTGAAACATCACGCATGGAATCCGACCCCCCCCCCCAACCCGAAATTCGGGCCTTCGGGTTGGGTTGGGGTGGTCAGGTAGGCAGTCCATTGGCTGTCCTCGTCCTGGCCTCGTCTCGCCTCCCGTGCCCCTGCAGCCGCCGGGCGGCGAGCTCCTGCCGCGGGCTCCTCGGCTCCCTGGCCGCCCCGGCGGCGCGGCGTGCACCGACAGCGGGCCCCTCCGCGGCGCGGGCGGCGGCCCGTCCCCGCGCGTGGCGCTCCGCTGGAGCAGCGGCGGGCTTCCCCGCCCGCCCCCGTGTTTTTTGCTTGCCGCAGGGCGCTGAGGCGCCTCTCGCGCGCCCGGCCGGGCCCAGACCTCCGACGTCGAGGGGCGTGCGGGCGGGCAGGGTGCGCGCCGTTCCAGACAGGGCGCCGCCTCCGGGGGAGCGAAGGCGTCCGAAGAGGAGGCGGCGGGCGGCGGAAGCGGAACGGCGGCGGCTCGGTCGGAGAGAGCCAGCCGGCGGCAGCCGGCGGGAGTCAAAGGCTGCCCTCCAAGATTTGGCAGCATTTTTGGGTTCAGGGTTTCCGGAACCCGCCATGTGTATCCATATATGCCCACTGCGTCTTGCAGTTCGGGCTCTCTTCTCGACTGAAGCGATCTTTCGTCGGAGTGTCCCTTCGCCAGAGTGGCCCTGGGTGCGGGCCCAATGTGCCCCCCCGAGCGCTGAACGCGAAGCGGCAGCAGCGGCTTGCGCGCGTGGGTTTGGCCAACCCGCGTCCCCACCCTAGGCCGCGCACCGAAGGTCAATCTTGCCCAGGCTTACTCTTGCGTGTAGCCGATCTTACCTAGAGGCCAGCGGCGCAGTGGATGTGGATGAGAAAACCTGGGCCCCAGAGGCTGCGGGTCGGCCTTGGGGCGCCCCTTTTTCCCAGGAAGCCCAAGACGCGGTGGACAGGGATAGAAATCTTGCCCGCTGGATGGCTGGGCGAGGCGTGTCTGGACGTCCTCGGCCTATGTCGGCTGCGCGAAGAGTGGCCCCTCGCGGGATGGACTCCTGGCGTGCGGCCTTCTGGGGGCGCGCGGGGGAGGGGACCACGCCCAGGCGCGGGGGCCGCTTCTGTCGCATCGCATGCAGCGATCGAAAGGCCGCGCACCACAGGCGCTTTCCCTGTAACCACACTTGCGGGTATCTGACTTTTGCCCCGACGTCATTGTGTTTTTTCCTCGGCGTGGGCTCCGGAGGGCTCGACCTCTCTGCTCGGGCTGGCTTCTCAACCCGAGCAGTTTTTGTTTGTGTTGGTGCCTGAGCTTAGAGGCGGCCCCCCGAGGCCCAGAGCTGCCAAACGCCCTCCGTCGTGACCTCTTGTGATCGTTTTTCTGTTCCCGCTTTTGCCGATCGGCGCGGGCCCTCGCCTTCCCCCCTCCCCCCCCCATGGAGTAGATCTTGGCTGGACGCACTGTTGTAAACAGTCGCACTGAGCAGAGGTCCAGAGCCAGACCCCCCGCCCCTCTCCCCCCTCCTCGCTCAATGTCGAAACGCCGACTAAGAAAACGCCTACCTCCTCGACGGAAGGGGGTCTGGGTTTATCCGGATGCAGCTGCAGGGAGGTTAGAATCAGCATCGGCGCTGGTACGCCCGTGGCCCAATCCGGCATATTACAGCGTGGTGTTGCCTAATCCCGGCTCTCCTGGCGCAATCGGGCGTAGTCCTGAGCTTCATCTGGGCTCACCTGGCTTCGTGCCACCATCGTCGGGCTTCTGCATCAGCCCTTCCCCGTTCCCACGGAGACGCCCCGTGGCTTCCTCCTGAGGGTGCCGTGCAGGAGCCCTCTGCGTGCAGGGCGCTCGCAGAATTCAGAGTAGCTGGTACATAGGGGGGGTGCGCGCACGCGCCCTCGTGCAGCATGCGCCGGGGGCTCCCGCGGCGGCGCCACGCCGGGTGCCACCGCGGTCGAGGTCCCCGCACTCCGGGGGGGGGGCGCAAGCGCAGTGCACACCGGCGCCGGCCGGAGCGGGGCCCAGCCTCGGCCTGGGGCTGGTGTGCTTTTCCACGGTTTCTGGGGAGGGGGTCCTTCTGGTTCGCGGGCTCGCATCGCTGGAGATGCACGTGGGGCGTTCCCAACAGAGGGCCCTGCCTTCCAGGATTGAAGGGACCTGCCATCTCCTCCGCGGCGGAAGGCCGCGGAAGGTCGGCGGAAGGCGGCGGGAGTAAACCGAGGCGGGTTCCGCTGGCGGAAGCCAGCGGAAGCAGAAGTCGACCTGCCGAGAGATGACAACCTTTTCGAGGTCAGGGTTTCTCGAATCCGCCCAAGTAGATTGGTTTGCTCCCAGGCCCCCTCGCGTCGTGAGCAAAAGTAGCGGCCGACGTTTTTTGTTGGCTTCGGCCTCTGGGGGCTCTCGCCGGGCCCCAGGGGCCGTCACAAATCAGCTCAGGATGAGAAGACAGTCCTGGGGAAGGGGTCGAGACCTCCAGGGGTTCTCGTGGGTGAAGACCTCATGACGCTGGGGCCGAAGCTCACATCATGTTTTCCGGACGTCTTTCGTTTTTTCTTATTGGGTGGTCCGGTGGGTTTCTCGTCACCCCAGCTGGGCTGCCCACTGAGATCCTGGCGTAGACCTTGAATGCAGCCCGAAAGGCAGCCCTCCTTGACTGGTGCAGAACTAGGGGCCGAGCTCTCTTCTCGCAACTTCCTGCTTCCAGGGGGGCACTTGCTCTAGGCCTCTCAGAAGGGGTCGGAGCAGATGGGGTCGGAGGATCTCGCCGCATCGCCGATGCATCGCCGATGCCTCGGCGATGCGGCGAGATGTTAGGCCCGAGTTTCTCCGCGCCGACGTCGCCGATGCATCGCCGACGTCGCGGGTGAATCGCCAATGCTTCGGCGATGCATCGCCGATGCGGCTCGATCCTCCGACCCGATCTACCCCGACCCCATCTAGGAGGCCTTACTTGCGGGACCCTCAAAAAAGATGTGTCTCGTGAAAGGCTGGTCCTGGGGAAGAGTCGAGACCTCCAGGGGTCCATGTTGTGGAACATGTTGCGGCGTCGGGGTCTGGGCATACAGTCAGCGGCTTGAATAAGGAACAGGTACTTTTCAAAAGGGGTTAGGCTCGCATGCGTTATTTTCGCTCCTTACGCGTTATGTATCATATACCGTTCCTTTTGCGTTACTCCGTGGAAACAAGGGGCTTCGTTTCTTCTCTATCGTTCCTCAGGTCAGGCCGATGACTGTACACGGACACCGATCATGACCAGGCCCATCCTTGGCCTGGAAATATAGTAGACGCAGTCCTGGCCAGGTCCTGAGGGCGTACACCCTGCGACTCGATGTCACAAAGCAACACGTTTGGCACAGTGAGGACTCACAGCCAGAATCTTGAGCCTCAGTTTTCGGCGGTACTTCGCGAGCCGCATCCGTCCGCGACTGCACCGGGGTCCGAATCCGCCCGAGACCGCCCAGAGTGACATATTCGCGACGTCTGGATCTCTGGGCACGGTAGGCTCCTCTCGGGTCGACACGGCGGCGACCCCGCCGCGGGCCGCCAGTGGTCCAGAATCGGTCCACAGAGAACGGGTTGGGCGATCGAGAAGCCATCGGTTGTCCAGGGTGGAACGGCCAACGCGGTGCCAGGCCTCCCAGGAGGGGACCAGAGCAGACGTGGTCGGAGCGTCGCGCCGCACCGCCGATGCATCGGCGATGCATCGGCGTTGCGGCTCGATTTAGAGCCCGAACTTCTTTACGCGGACAGTTGGGAGGCTGGGCGGCCGTCACGGTACAAGCCTGCCGTGCGCCGGCCCGATCCTGGGCCCCGATCGCAGGCGTCGGTGTGCAGTTTGCGCCCTCCTCCCTCGTGGCAGGCCCGGCCTCAAGCCGGTCCCCGGCTGCCGGGCGCGCTCAATTCACCGTGCGGCTGCGCGCAGGGGGGGTAGGTGGAGCCGGCTTGGGGGCCAGGGTGGCCCAGCCTTGGTTCCGGCCAGCTGAAAGGAGGGAGAAAGGAGTCGGCTCGTTGCCACGGTCGGGTGCGGCTTGAAAGCATGCCAGAGTAACGACTCCAGGAGGGTCCAGGAACAGATGTTGTGCGGATCTGCCCGTGTCCACCGCACCTTGGCAAATTTGCGCGGGTTCCATCCAGCGCAGACCCCGCGGCCATTTCCAAGGCAGAGTTCCTGGTACCCGCTTGGAACCAATCCAAAGGTTTCTGCAGAGCCTTTTTGGAAGTTGCCCGAAGTGTTTTGAAAGTGTTCGTTGGTTCTTGAACGTTTTCTCGCCTCGGGATGCTTTCCAGCAGCTGCGCCTCGCTGGCAGCGTTTCGGGGGGGCCCGAACCATTCCGAGTTCTTGCCCGGAAGCCAAGTCGATGGAGGATCGAGGTTTTTTGGGGTGTTTTCGCTTTTCTGGGCCTCCGGGAGGCTTCTCGTCGTCACGGCTGGACTCGCATCGAAATCCTGTTCGGAACGCTCCACGTCGGGATGCAGATATTGTTGGCCCCGCGGGCCCCGGCGGCCCACCGTCTTGGCAAGGGGAAGGCGGAGGCCTTCAACAAGTTTTGTTCGGCTCCTGGAGACCAGTATTAAGTCGGCCATGTTCCTCTACTGGGGGAATATCCAAAAATAGTAAAGACAAATAATATGGGGACTATTTGTTCGAGTATTTTGGAGCATTGTGTTCAAATTATGTTTTGACTATTCTTATGGTTCGCCCAAAATCTGCCTGTAGGGGGACACGCCCGACCTCAGAGCAGTTTCGGCCCCTTTCGGGCCCTGGTGCTGTGAGGGCACGCCTGCGGATGGGGGGAGGTGCGGGGGCTCGTGTCTCGAACAATTGGGCCGCCGGGGCGTTTGGGGCTTTGTCTGGGCATCGCTCGGACGTGTGCGTTTGTTCTCGGCGAGGACCATCGAGGAGCATTCTGGGTCATTCAGGCAAAAAAGATCACGCACAACACCGATAAGTGCACCGGGGATGCACGTCCGAGCATGTGGGCCCTCTCGGGGTCCTCGTCGTCGCGGCTGGACGCACCGCTGGCCAGGACGGGCCCTGCCCTGTGAGCCGGCCAACTCTACGACAGTCTCTTGCAGCCGCATTCGTGTCACCGCGCTTACGCATGCGAGTGCATGACAATTGATGCCCTGCTTTGGTTATCACACGTAGTCACCTGTCACAAAATTAGGGGCACTACCCAAGAAGTTACGCTTTCAACAGAAAAAAACTTCAGCTCCGAACGGTCGCACACGCAATCAGCAACAGCACGTAAGGACTTTTGACGGTGGTCTGTTCTGCCCTTTTCGGTATCCTTTCGTCTCAGTGGAATTCAAGCGAAGCTCAAACCATACCATGGCTTCAGCATGGTTCGATTTCCACCGAAAGCGAACTGCAGCCGACGGGAGCCGAAACGACACCGATAGGAGCCCGAAACCAAGCTGCTGCACACGTAGTGGCAGCGTTGTGTCAGTTTTCATGCGAGCGAGAAGGGGAGAAGTTTGGTGCGCAGGAGGACGAACAAAAGCCTGCTTTGATGTGTGAACGGGTGCTTGCGCAGCCCTGGCAGTTCTGGCAGTTCTGCCCGAAGCGAAGCATGAAACGATGCCAACATACAAACCGACACCGAAGCGAAACTTGAACGACACCGAAACGTAGTTCATTGATCGAAAGGTTTCAGCTGGCCAGGCCGACGGTGATAACTCTCCAAGGGGAAGCTTGCAACTCCCGGCTGGGGTGCTGTAAGCAAGGAGCCGACAGAGCTGGCACATTTCTGACGAGTTGGTGCATGCTCTTGGTGTTGCTGCGCTTTCAACCAACGATGTGGGTGGGTGCGAGGGCAGTCATTGCTTTCCACTCCGAACCGCAGCCTTTCTGTGTACGTTTCCTGATCTGCATGGTGGCAGCGGTCTGGGAACAAGTTTTGAGTGGATCTTGGTCGGGGCAGGGCGTGGATGTGTGGCCTGGTGAGAGGGCAGGGGCCCTACCCGAAGACCGACCCGCCACCTGCTTCGGGGGCCTCCTCCTGCAAACCTCTGGGGCCTGTGCGTGTTCGGGGGGCGGTGGGGCGGCTCTCGAAGCAGGCAGTTGGGGCTTAGCTGCCATGATACGCCCGTTCTGGAACGCAACACGTGCCGTGCTCAAAAAACGTCAGTGTTGACACGCCGCGCGTGGGTTCCGGCAAGTGTAAGGCCACGTTTTGGCGTGCGTATCGCGCCAGGACCATTCTCGGTCTGCGTGTTGAGCTCCGTGTCAACACGCTGCGGGCTGAGTGTTGCGCATCGGGGCAGCTGAGAGCGGGGGGAGGAGGAGGAGGAGGAGGAGGAGGAGGAGGAGGAGGAGGAGGAGGAGGAGGAGGAGGAGGATCAGGAGGAGGAGGAGGAGGAGGAGGGGGAGGAGGAATAGGAGGAGGAACCCATGCCTCCTCAGAGCCCCCCCCTCAGAAATCCGCTTTCCATGCGAGCCGCCCCCGCTGTCTCCTCCGCGGGCCGCCCCTCCCCCGCGCCACCTCCTCCTGCGCGCCGCCGGCGCCGACCCGTTGCCCGACTGATTTTTCATGCGTTTTCAATGACCCGCGCTGGGCTACCACGACGCGCTTGTGCGCCGCAGGGCGGCCGCCTTAGGAAAAAGCCGGCACCTCCGCGCGCGCCGGCGCGCCCGCGCAGGCCCCCAGAGGGGGACAGTGGGCGGCGAGCCTGGGAGGGAAGTGGCAGGGGGCGGGCCTTCGCAGGAGGCTCGAAAGTCCCCCAGCCTTCTGGGAAGCATCCTAAGCCTCCTCCTCCCTCCCTCCTCCTCCTCCTCTTCCTCCTCCTCCTCCTCCTCCTCCTCGTCCTCCTCCTCCTCCTCCTCCTCCTCCCCCGAAGACACAGGACACCTCTCAGGAGGCGCGAGGGCTCCTGAGAAGCCCCGCCGCCTCCTGAGAGGGCCTTCTCCTCCTCGCCTCCCCCCTCCGCTCGCCGCCGAGCGGGGGCCCGCTCTGGCAGAGCCGCGCTCTGGCAGGGGCCGCTCCGGCGGAGCCGCGGGTGCCGAGGACCCTGGCAGGGCCGCTGCGGCCCGAGGGCCGCTGCGGGAGGCGGCCGCTGCGGCAGGGGACCGCTCGGGTGGAGGGCCGCTGGGGCGGAGGGCCGCCGCGGCAGAGAGCCCGGCCTCCAGCTTGGATGTCCCGCCCGCTCGCCCAGCCCAGCCGTTCGGGCCCGCCTGGCACACCCGTTTGGGCCCACCCTCCCGGCCCGCCCGTTAGGGTCCGCCCTCCGGGCGAGCGGCCCTCTGGACGAGCGATCCTCCGTGACCTGGGGGCGTCCACGCCACGGTTGATGGGCTCCAGCTCGCGGCGCAGTGGGAGCCATTGCGTAAGGGACGCGAGAGTCTGGCCAGAGTTAGCCACGGGCTCTTTCCATGCCGCGAGGGCGTGCCAGCTGCCGTCAGCGCGCCTTGACCGTGCGCCTTGCGGCGCAGGGGGTTGTGTTCTGGCCAACCCCATCCTCCTTCCGCCGAAGGACCTGCTCTGTCACCCGACAGTCCCTCCCCTGCGACCTAATTAGCCGTAGGAGGCTCTGCGTGGTGGTTTTGCGGGTCCATCGGTGGCCTCCTTTCCCTCCCCATTTGCACGTCCTCGAGCTGGGTCGAAATGTCCAATAGGTCGTCCTCCTCCTCCTCCTCCTCCTCCCTCCTCTCCTCCTCCTCCTCCTCCTCCTCCTCCTCCTCCTCCCCCTCCTCCTCCTCCTCCTCCTCCTCCTCCTCCTCCTCCTCCTCCTCCTCCTCCTCCTCCTCCTCCTCCTCCTCTACTCTCGCAACGCCACGCGGCGATTTCTTGACTCCGACGGGCCGCGCGCGCGGCCGCGCGGCCACGCCGTCCGCACGCTGTCCGCGGAACCGCCGAGCCCACGCCTGGGGGGGCACCCGATGGATTGTAGTGGCCTTCGGCCGGTGCCGCCGATCCGGGTCGCTTGGGGTGCCCTCCAGACTGGGCGGCGACACTTCGCCGACAGACACGCACGCACACGCTCGCAGACATTACGCGCACACGCGCACACACATACACAAACACACACGCACACACACACAGAGACACACACACACACACACACGCTGCCCACGCAGCCGCCGAGCCCACGCTTGGGGGGGCACTCAATGGATATTGTAGCAGATGACGCAGTACCTTGCCCGTGGCGGCGTGCATGGCGTACCTTGTAGGTAGCGCGTGGACGAGGTGGCGTAGTAGCCTCTGGGTTGAAACAAAAACATGTAGTTGTACCTGGAGTGGTCCGGCTTACGGCTGGCCCTTCTCACCGTCGTCATTGTGAGGCTTCCACACGCAGATCATGTGCTAGTGTTTGAAGGGCTGTTAGCAGGCCTCTCATACGGCGTGGCGCAATGGGGATGCGCTCTTTGCCCGCCTCGTAGACGGTCTCTATGGTGCGGATCCGCAGCTGGAGTTCTCTGTCCCATTTGTCCCGGCATTCGACTGCGATATTGCATGTATCTCGTAGTACAAGCCCTTCTGGCTGCCCTCGTAGCTCAGGTGGTCGTCGGAACTCTTGCTGGTGGTCCTCGCAGCTCCTCTGGTGGCTCCTCGTAGTTCAGCCGGTGGCCGATGTAGCTCACTTAGCAGCATCGTGCAGCAGTGCTCGGCATCAGCAGGATCGACGACGGCGGATTCACCCCGCATTTCCCTACCAGGCTGTATTTGGCTGGCGATGCGCGCCGCAAGGCAGTCCGCCGGTTGGTCCGCCCGCGACGCGTCGACGGGGATCTGCCTCAGGGACCGCTGCTGCCACCTGCCCCGCGTGACTGGGAGCCCAGCCCTATCGGTGACGCGACGCAGCTGGAGGCCGCCATTGACAGCTGGTACCGCGCGGCTCGCGGCACATTCACCACTTTGACTGGGGTGCCGGCGCCGTGGTTCCGGCCATACTTTCGCTGGGAACCAGCTGCTGGGCGACCCGCCTCGCGGCACGCAGGCGCATCCTCGCTCGCCGTGGCATGGCGAGATTGCTCGGCTCGGGCCTTCGAGACCGCTGCCATCCTCGGCCGGCCGCAGCCTGCCACTCACGACGAGCTCATCCTCGCTCGCCACTGGTCCCTCGTGCGGGCTGCAGTTCAACGGGCTGCTCGTGCTCCTGGCGAGTCCCCCGACGCCTTCCGCACCTGGGCTGCCGCCTTCGGCCACGCGCAGATGACGCGCGGGGTCTCCGCCATGCGGTCACTGGCTGCCAGGGCGGCGCAGCACGCCAAGCGGGTTGAGGATGCCGTGGCGGCTGCGCGCCTGGCCGCGTACCGCAGCGCTTTGGCGGCGCCTGGCGGGGCCCGCACGGCGCGCACCTCGGCGTTCGCTCCCGGGCGCCTGGCTTTCCAGTATACCCGGGGCATTGGCGGCTGGGCCCGCTCACCAGCCGGCGCCCCGCGCTGCGAGCAGGACGTCCCCGATGCTGACCCCCTGGAGTACGACGACTTTGATGCCGGCCGCGTCGAGGTCTCGCTGGACGGCCGCGCCCGGGCCGCCGCGGCGCCGCTGTCCGAGCAGGCTGCCCTCGACCACGAGGCTCGCGGCTGGGCTGACCAGTGGGCCGTCGGGGAGGATTACCGCGAGCCGTACTTTCCTGCGCACCTGCTGGTGGATCCCCAGCCGCTCACGATGTGGAGCCTGGGCCAGGCCATCGCGTCCTTCCCCGTCGGGACGGGCCCCGGGGCTGATCACTTGGCCCCACGGGCGCTCCAACGCCTCCCTGGTGCAGCACGCCTCCGGCTCTGCCACATCTTACTCGCAGCGGAGCGCCTCGGCCGCTGGACGGCCGCTTGCAACCTGGTGCTGATCGTGCTGCTGCCCAAGCCGGACGGCGGCCTGAGGCCCATTGGCCTTTTTCCGACGCTCATCCGCATTTGGATGCGTGCGAGGGCCACGGTGGCCCGCGCTTGGGAGGCGGCCCATGCGCTCCCATCGGTGTTCGGCAGCGCTGGGCGCGGCGCGCAGCGCGCAGCCTGGGCGGCGACCTTCGCTGCCGAGGCCTCGGCGGCTTCGGCGCGCCACCATGTCGCGTCCTTGCTTGACCTCGTGAAGGCGTTCGAGCGGATCCCGCGCCACCTCGTGGCCGCGGCCGCCGTGCGGCTGGGTTTCGACCTGGTCGTGCTGCGCCTGTCTCTGGCGTCTTACCGGCTGGCACGGGCCATCGGCGTCGAGGGCACATTCTCGTGCTTGCTCGTCGCCACTCGCGGCATCACGGCCGGCTCGGGGTTCGCCACCGTCGAGCTCCAGATGTTGCTGCACGAGTCCATGCTCATCGCCATGTTCCGCTGGCCGTTGCTGCAGTTGCTCTTATACGTTGATGACTTGACCATTACCGCGTCCGGCTTTCCCGAGGAGGCCCTTGCAGCGGTGTCTCGTGGCACGGAGTTCTTCGTCGACATGTTCGAGAAGTGCCTCCAGTTGACGGTCTCGCCGACGAAATCGTTCGCTGTCGCATCGAGGCCCCGGCTCGCGGTTCGGCTTTCTCTCATGTCCAAGCGGCGTCTGTTGGTGCCGAAGCGCAGCGTGAAGATGCTGGGCACTCCCTACGCCGGCGGCCGCGCGCGGTCCGCGGGCGTCCTGCGAGGCCGCCTGAAAGAGTTCAAAGCCCGCATCCTGCAGAATACACGCTCTCAGGCGGCAGCGCATCGACGTGACCAAGGTGGTCAAGGCGATCGGCAGCCCTAGCATGCTGTACGGCGTGGACATTGTCGGTGCGTCCAGCACGCACCTGCATAGCGTCAGGGTCGCCGCTCTCCGCGCGGCCTTGCCGCCGGGCGCAAGCCGGAACGTCGACGTCGGCTTCGCGGTCCTCGGCGCCGGGGGCTCTTGCTTGGACCCCGCCTTCGCTGCGCATGCCACCCCGCTGCGCCACTGGGGCATGGCTTACTGGCAGGGTTGGGCACCCGCGGCGGTACTTGATGCCGTCTTTGAGCTGTCACGGGACCGCCTTGCGAACGTTCTTGCCAGCGGCCGGTCGCCGTGGTCTGCCGTGGCTGGCCCTGTGGCGGGCGTCATCGCAACGGCTTGGCGCCTCGGTTGGACGTGCACCTCCCCGCGGCGCTTCACCGACGACATCGGCGAGCCGGTCGACTTCCTCCTCCTGTCCCCCGCGATGGTGGCGGCTGCCGTGCACAGATTAGTCGACCGATGGCGCGCGCAGCGGGTGATTTCGGCATTCCCCGCGCTGGTCGCGGGCGAGCCGGACATGCCCCTTGGCCAGGGCGCCGGCGCCGTCACCATTCTCGTCGGCCGCCCTCTCGGCGCCCTCCTCGAGGGCCGCGGGCGACCGCGCAGCACGGTGCCGCAATGGTCGGGGCCATGTCGCTCTCAGCTCCTGTCCGCCGCCACAGGGGGCCAATGGCCCCAGGTCCGCATTGCCAAGCTGCGGAACGCTGATGCCGCTGCCGGCAAGGCTTGCCAGCTCTGTGGCGTCACGCCCGGCACCCTTATGCATCGTCGGGTTTGCGAGGCCTCGCTCCCTCCGGATGGGTGGCCAGAGCCGCCGGAGGCATGCCGGCGCTTGCTCTCCGTGCTCCCAGAGGCCCGGCTGACGTTCCTTCGCACTCGTGGGCTTCTCGCACTTCGGCTGCCACGCCCTGTGCCGCAGGAGGAGGCGGCCGTCCGCTGGTTCACGGACCCTCCGGACGCCACTCGCGCCGACTTGTGCTGGTACACGGATGGCTCCATGAAGTTTGGGCCTGTTTGGGAGCTCCGGCGCACTGGATGCGCACTCGTGGTCGTGTCCGAGAACGGGGACCTCGCGGCGTACGGCTGCGCCGTGCCTCCGCCCTGGATCCGCACGGCGGCGGCGGCAGAGCTCTGGGCAGTCATGCTCGTGCTTACCATTACCCTCAGGCCGCCGACCATTCGCACCGACTGCCGGGCGCTCCTCGCGGCGGCTGCTGCTGGAACGGCGCGGGCCACACAACCCACACGGATGCTTGCGCAGGTGTGGTCTCGAGTGTCCACCCTCGTCGACGGTGACATCTCGGAATTGGTCTCTGCAGGCAAACTTACGTGGATGCCTGCTCATGGCAACCAGACCGTCATTGGCACGGCCATGAGGTCTGACGAGCACGTTGTCACGGCGATTGACTGGAGAGCAAATCGCCTGGCAGATGTCCTTGCCAAGGCTGCTGCCGGCGGCCCGCCGCCCTGCGGCCCAGCTTCGGCGCGGTTTGCCATCGCAGAAAGGCTCGTCGCGCACGAGGCCGCTGTGTTGGGGGCCGTCACATACGCTGCAAATCACCGCGAGCGCATCCTGTGCGGACCCGGAGGCGCCCTCAAGCGGGTCACGGTGCGCGATTCCGCTGCCGTGCGGCGGCCGCGGGCCCGGCCTCGCGCTGCTGCCGCCCCAGCGCCGCCGGTGGCACTGGCGCAGCCGCCGGCGCTGGTCGGGCACGAGCTGGCCGGCCTGCGCGCGGCTCACGCGCCCGCGGCCTGGCCCCGCGCTGCGCTGGGGGCCCGGGGCAAAGTGCGCGCCGCCGCGGCGCGCGCGGCGTCCGCCGGCCGCGCTGCTGCGGACGCGGCTGCCGCCCAGGCCATCTGCGCGGCGCGGGCCGCTGCCCTGCGGCCGTCGTCGGCACCGCCGGCTGCCGAGCGGCTGGCCGCGCTCCGGGCGAGGGTCCTTGCTCGCGTAGGCTGCGGGTAGGGCCCCGGGAGCCTGCATAGCGCTGCTATGCTGGCGTTTTCCTCCGCCTCCTCCTCCTCCTCCTCCTCCTCCTCCTCCTCCTCTTCCCCACTAATTCGGTGCCACGAGCTTTCGCGGGAGCGTCCTGCCATGCCCTGCTGCCCCGGGAGTCTCGCGAGTGGGGAAAAAAAACTCACTTAGCAGCCCTTGTAGTTCAGCTGGTGACCATGGTTGATCTGCAGGTGGTCGTGGTAGCTCCAGCGGTGGCTCTCGTAGCCCAGCGGTTGTGCCAAAGGTCCAGCTGGCTGCCCTCGTAGCTCAGCTGGTAGCCCAAGTAGCTCATCTCGTGACCCTCGTAGCTCCGTTGGTGGTCCTCGTAGTTCAGCAGTTGGCCCAGGTAGTTCTGGTGGTGGTTCTCGTTGATCGGCGGGTGGCACCGGTAGTTCAGCTGGTGGCCCTTGAAACACAGTTGGTGACTCTCGAAGCTCTCCTGACAGTTCTTGACGAACAGGGGTCTCGTAGCTCTCCGGGCCCAGGTGGTTCAGCAGGTGGTCTCAGGAGTTCCGTTCGGTGCCCGTGAAGCTCAGCTCGTGGTCCTTGTAGTTCAGCTGGTGGCCCCAGTGGCTCAGCTAGCTTCTTGAGGCAGCTACGAATGGTGTATTGGCGGACCTGCTGCACGGCGGCTTCCACGTCGTCATGTCCAGGGCCGCGTGCTGTTCCAGCCAGGTGGCAGGGAGGCTGGTGCCGGTGGCTCTCGTATTTCGGCGAGTAGATCTCGCAGCTCAGCCTGTGGTCCTCGAAGCTCTGCATGTCGTCCTTGTAGCTCGGGCGGTGGTCCTCGCAGACCTGTTTGTGGCCTGCGTAGCTCGGCGCGTGGCCCTGGAAGCTCAGCGCCTAGTCTTCGTAGCTATGCGCGTGGCCCGCCAAGCACAGCTGGTGGCTCCTGAAGCTGAGCTGGTGGCCCTCGAAGCCCTGCCTGTTGCCGTCGTGGGTCTGTTCGTGGCCGTCGAAGTCCAGCTGGTGAGCCTTGAGGCTCTGCTCCTTGCTGTTGAAGGCCCTGCTGGCGCCCCTCGAGGCTCAGCCGCAAACCCTCTGAGCATTCGTTTTTGCCGTCGAAGCTCAGCTGGTGGCCCTCTGAAGCTCAGGCACCGGCTCTCGAGGCTCTGCCTCTTGCCGTCTCGCGGCTCCGCCGGCGGCCCCCGCAGGTCGCTCGCGTCCAGCCTTTGGCGACGGTGGTGGGAGCCATGGCGGCGTAGCCCGTAGGGCTCGATGTGGGGTGCCGCCGCGTGGGGGGATACCCCAGATTTTGTAATAAAGGGAGGGGGGTCTCATTTCGGGGGGGGGGTCTTTCCCAAGCCATCTTGGAGGGCCTGGGGGGGTCTGGGGACGATGCTTTGGAGGGTTCTCCCAGGGGGGGGGGGTCTAAAACTTCCCGTCTGGGAGGGTTGAGACCCCCTCCCTTTGATTACGAAATCTGGAGCACCCATCTCCACTTTTTTTTTTTTTTAGGGCGCACGCCCCGGGGCCACCTCGGGCGAGGGCGCCCGCGGGGGCAGGGGAGGCGCAGGCAGCCCGGCGGCCAGGGATCAATCGAGGAACGTGTCAGTCAGGAGGAGAAAAAACACACAGACACAATTATTCGTCGAATCCCAGAAAATATGCGAAAATATGGGAAGTGGGGGGGAAGACAGAAACCCAGAAAATATGGGAAAATATGGGGAATCTTTTTATTTGTGTGTATTTATTTGTGTGTCCCAGGGCCCCTTCAAATTCGCAGTGCTCCACGTTCCGAGTGTCACCGCGGTCCTGGAGCCGCGGCCGCTGTAAGAGGAGTGCAGGTGGCCGTCGCAGCCTGAGTGGCGCCGTGGTCCTGGGGCCCCGCGCAGCACAGGCGGCCATGGTAGTTCTGGACAGCAGTGTCGTCCAGGGGCCCGCCTGCGCCAAGGGAGGGTGCCTCTATGATCACATACTCGTGGCACTCGGTGTCGTACTTGGTGTCGTGCTCTGTTTCGTACTTGCCGTCGTACCGGGACGCCCTCGCCAGGGCGGCCGTGGCAATGATGCTGATACCGTCGGATCGAGGTTGCACCTCATGTCGGACGTTGTACCCTGCTCGTTTTTGCGCCGCGTCTGTTCGCGCCCGTGCTCCTCCATGCCTGTATGGTCTCGGCATACTTGCCGATACGGCTCCCACATGGGTAGGTCTCGTAGCCCTTAGGTAGTGTTGAAGATGTCCGCCTTGTGATTCAACAGCTGGTGGTTGTTGTAGTCCCAGTTCGTCAACCTCGCCCAGATGTTCACCCTCTGGTGGACGATCTTGTAGTCGCTGAGGAACCCAAGAGGTACCGACAGCGCTACTCCCCAGACCTCTCCCGGGGTGCGTTCTGACCAGGATTTCGAGGCGAATCCAGCAGTGGCGATGAGGGCCGCCCAGGAAGCCCAGAAAGGGGAAAACGACGGAAGAGTAGAAGTATAGGAACGTGTTCCTTCTCCGACTTTGGTGGATGATGGTGTAGTCGCGTTTGATCACCTTCTCGCGGTCGCGGCTGCGGCTGCGGCCTTCCCAGAGCGTTCTGGAACGCTCTGAGAAGGCCGCGGCGCCCGAGACATCCTCCAGATCCGCTGGATCTCCGAGATTCCCGACTTATCCTTACCCGATGTTGTCCTCGTCCTGGCTTCGTCCTCTGTTGCAGTCGCGGTTGGCCACCTTCTCGTGGTCGCGGCGGCGGCCCCGCCTTGTCGTGGTCGCGCCCCCGCCTGCGCGGCGGCGTGCGGGGGCTTGCCCCCCCCCCCCCCCGAGGGCTCGGCGCGCGAGGGGGGGGCACGGCACCAGAGGGGGCGAGCGCGGTGGATAGAGAGAGAGAGAGAGAGAGTTCCCGCAAGCGGCCTCCTCCTCCTCCTCCTCCTCCTCCTCCTCCCTCCTCCTCCTCCTCCTCCTCCTCCCTCCCTCCTCCTCCCCGCTCCTCCCCCTCCTTCTCCTCTTTTTCCTCCTCCCCTCCCTCCCTGCCTCCTTTCCTGCCTCCTTCCCTCTCTCCCTCCTCTCCTCCTCCTCCTCCTTCCTCCTCCTCCTCCTCCTCCTCCTCTCCTCCGCCTCCTCTTCCTCCTCCTCCTCCTCCTCCTCCTCCTCCTCCTCCTCCTCCTCCTCCTCCTCGTAGTCAGAAGAGGAAAAGGCACCCATACTGCTACCCTTCCCTCTGTTTTCTCTTTTCGAGCCTGCTTGCAGGCCCTCGTCGCTCTCGTCGAAATTCAGGTCAGAACGCACCCCAGGAGAGGTCCGGGGAGTAGCGGTATCGGTCCTTTTCGGTTTCCCCATACTCTTTGTCCACTTCTTGCTGCTGCTCTTTGCCTCCTCCTCTCTTCCCTTCTCTCCTCGCCTCGTTTTCTTCCTCCTCCTCGTCTTTCCCTTCTTCCATCCCTAACTATTGAATTTGCAGTACTTCCTCCTCGGTTTGCGGACGCTGTGCTCATGTTTCCCCGCATGTCCCGCATCAGTTCTTTGTTAAAGACAGGACTGCTCCGACTTCGCTTTGAATGAAGTTCCCTACTCAGTGCTTGCGCTCACGTGTCCGTGCTTGTTTTTTGCTGGAACTGGGCTCGTGTGTCGCCCCAGCCGTCTTGTCGTCGCCCCGTCGCCGCCCCGCCGCCGCTTGTCGCCGCCCGTTGCCGCCCGTCGCCGCCTCGTCGCGGGCTCGCGAACCGCGCCGGCCTGCTTGTCGTCGCCCCCGTGGCCGCCCCGCCCGGCTGGTGGTAGCCCGGTCGCGGTGCCGCTGCCGCCCGGGCTCCGCCTCGTCGCAGCTCGTCGCCGCTGCATTGCACTGCAATCGCACTGTGCCGCATGGCTCCAACCACATCTATCAGATTGCACCACGCAGACTGCACCACAGAGGTTGTAGAACATAGATTGCACCACACAGCTTGCACCACATAGCTCACACCACACATATATCATGTAACACCAGTTGCATAACGAAGCCCACGCCACACATATTCTTTGTCCTGAAGGAAGTTCGGATCTACCACCCCTGGTCTTATCAGTTCCCCTTGGGGTAGTAATTTGAACATAACTCTGCCCCATCGTCAATTCTGAGTCTGAGTTCGTTCCATCCGAGGGAGTGCTATTGTCGCCCCATCTCGCCCTCGCCAAATAATGTCATGCGCGCAAATTCGTTTATCAAAATTGCACGTTTCCCAGACTCCCGTGCAAGACATGGGACGAAGTCCACGCGCGCGCGTCGCGTGCGAATTGCTGGGGTTTTCCAAGAGAAGAGTTCATGGGATGTGGTAAGGGTCCAAGATCGAGGTTTCCGAAAACATATAATACATTAGTTTTGCAACATTGCGTTTTCAAAAGAGCCTGCACGCGCGCTCGTATAAGTTCTCTGGACAAGCATCTGTTTATTTTTCAACATGTTCATCACGTGCGACCAAGCGGGCCTCTCGCGCGCGCATGCCGAAATCATTCGGACGCTTGCGCGCGCTTGCTGGGGGGGGGGGCGCGATCGCTGGCAATTGATACCATGCGGACCACTCGCGCCCGTCGGCCGCGCGCATATGTCGAAATCCAAACAACTTCTTCATCACCGAGATGTGAACACCATCATCGTCATCGGCGTGATCATCATCGGCGCCGTCATTGGCTTTACCGTCGTCATCGCCATTCTCGCCACCAGCATCGCTACTATCATCATCGTGTCTGCCGTTGTCGGCGTCGCCATGGTACCGCGCTTGCCCGAGTCAACGACTTGCACGGAAGTGCCCGCCCGTCAGCGTGGCCAGCGAGGCGCGCTGGGAACTCCCCAGCGGTCAGCGCCACTGTGTCCGCGCAGGTCGCGCCAGACTAGCTGGCCGCGCTGCGGGCGAGGCTGCGCGCGCAAACGAGGCCGCAGCGATGCGGCAGCCGGCGCCAAGCAGTCTTCGAAATCGTGGCCGCATGCGCTTTGCAAACCAAGTTGCTGGTGGGTGGGTGGGATGATTGCGCGAGCAGTGGGTTTGACAGATGTTCCGGACAAA